GAGCTTCCAGCAGTTCATCGTCTCTTGGTACTCCTGCCTGCTCTTCAAGAGCAGTACCTCGATGGCGCGGGGATCGGTGACGTGCCGATGGCGCTCAAAGCGCTGGCGGATGCAATAGCGTATGTAGGCAGGCGAGACGTTGAGGGCGTAGAGGGAGATGATTTCCGGGGCCTAGGTGGAGGTCATTGCTAGGGTAAAAACGGATGGCAAAGGGACGTACGCCGCGGCACCAGTCACGGTAGAGCTGGATAACACGCTGTCGGGCCTCTACAGGGCTCTGCGAGCGAATGGAGGGTCGCGCGAGCCGTGCTGGAATCGTGAAGGACATGGTTGCAGGCAGAGTTCGATGACGCCGGTCAGCACCGGTCCTTGGGACGGATTTGGGTATATGTTCCCACAAGAAGGAAATCGTCTGCTTTGTGAAGAAAAAGAATTCCCCCAAAGATTGATCTCATTTTGGATTCCTATTTTTCCCTCATTTCTTGGTCGGATTCGGGCCGGAACGAGGCGAAGAACGAATCAAAGTCCGACAGTTTGAAGTCCCGCAATCACTCTCCAATCGACCCTCATCTTATCCTCATCTTACATTGACGACCATGGTTCGTGGAACAGGTATAGAATTAATTCATCGTTTTTCTGCAATCCCTGATATCATTTTCTTCATCCTCAGGAAAATTCAAGCAAAAGCGTGGCGGTGGCAGGAACTTTAGGTGTGCCCGTCCATTTATCCTGGTGTATCCACGTCGCTGATGATCCACAGCAAGGACATGATTCTAGATGAGAATGGTACCGCTGTATCTGCCGCACGGTACGTATTCCCGTCCGTCGCCACACGTTTCCAATATCTGAACGATCGATCGCCTTAGCGCTCGTAGGGACGCGGAGGAGGAATCGTCAGAAGAAGAGGAGGAGGAAGAAGAGGAGGAAGAGGAAGAAGAAGAAGAAGAGGAAGGAGAGGAGGACACAGACAAGCCAGAACTGAGCCGCGCTGAGCGCAAAGAACTCAAGAAGAAGCAAGCTGCCGAGAAACAGAAACAGAAACAGAAAGCCGAAGGGGAGGATGAAGAAGACGAGGACCTCATTAACCCCAACCACGTTACCAAGAAACTCAACATATCCGACCTTGGTGCGCCGAGGGAGCTCAGTCGTCGTGAAAGGGAAGCCAAAGAGAAGAAGGACGCCCAGGACCGGTATTGGAAGGTGCGATTCCCTTATCTTCAAGTAATCGTTTATGAACAATCTTTTCTTTGCAGCTACACCTCCAGGGAAAGACTGATCAAGCAAAGGCCGACTTGTCTCGTCTCGCAAAGATTAAAGCGGATCGCGAAGCTGCGCAGGCCAAGAGGAAGGCTGAGGCTGAAGGTACTTGCCGGACCATATTCTTTTCTTGTACGTTGCTTACTTTCTAACCCTACAGCGAAAGCGCAGGAGCTCGCTGCCAAGCAGAAGGCCGCTGCTGGAAGGCGATAAACGAGTTCTGTATCAGCTTTGTTGCTTTTTGGTTTTGCGAATGCGTTGCTATAACACGAGACTGAGACTCCGCGGTTGTGTGAAGTTCGCGATTTACGCTGCGCTTAGACTGAACATGCGGTTCGAACGTTCCTTTCTGTTTGAGGAAAAAATTATCTCCGAAACCCATCGTCGTATATCATCTTCAGGAATTGAACCTGACCACGTCTCGTGTCCCTGCTAGTACACCATGACACCTCTTTACAGTTCACTATACGGTGATTCTGTGGTCTCTGATTTTCGAAGCCAGACAGTTCTGGCATTCAAGGGATGTGAGACTGGTCAGGATTTCAACTTCAGAATCGTCGGCGTCATTATTCATTGACACTACAGTCTACACAAATATTCCGCGAGGTGTCATGAAACGAATGTAACTGGCCGCGTAGGTAATTTCAGTCCATGTACGATGATAAAATCTAATATAACGACGGGAAGACTTTAAAAGAGTGTAATTTACCCACAGATGGTAGGGTATAAGAGATCTGTAACGTTGCGAGGAATCCAACCGCCCGCAAGACCAGCTTGATAGCTCCAATCGTCCGCAGATTCAGCTTTCCTGCATGGCGACATCAATAGACTGGCTGAACGTTACAAAGAAAGTCAACTAACCAGGTCCAATGTATCCAATTCTGGTACGTTATAACCTACAGTCAGGTCAGCCTTGCTCTCACGGCCAAGTCCCGCACTTTATCACGTACCTGGGCCTCCCAGTACTTCCTTAAAAAGTCCTTGTACTCTTGGCTAAAGGACGACGCTGATCCTGTTTTGCACCCGCAGTCACCCACCCAAGTACTGTTAGGATAGGTGCCATCATAGCGAGCACCAACCCCACGGCCTGTAACATAATTCAGCCTGGCTGGACAAACAAAGGACTGGTTCGAAGGACTTTCCATTCAAGTACTTTGCACAATCAGTGGGAGCAGCCGTCCACTCGCCAACGATTGTCCAGAGATGGAAGGAAGACAACGAAGGTCCCTCCTGGCACGCTGCGGCAATATGCTCGTCGTCGGATCGTGCGACCTCCTAGATACATCATGATGAGTACAAACCTCTACTGTGCGGAGAAACTCGAGCAAACCTCGTCGGAAAATATCTGGTAAATATGCGTGTCCATGGCTACACCATCATAATTGTCCTCGCGTCGCATGAAGTCTTTCCAATAGCTGAGGTCTTGAAACGCATCGTGGATTAAAACAACGGCGTTTGTCCCAGGTATCGATCTATCGGATTGATGAGGTTGAGTGTTCTCGACAATGCGCCGCATCACCTTACCGAATAGCATCATAACTATCTTCCCAGTACTGGTAGTAGATTGAGAATTCATTGTATATCAGTTAAGAAACGACGATGCTCACCTGTTTTACGACTTGCAGCACATCATCGCCACAAAACCCAGCTGGTCTTAATCCAATAAATTCATAGTATCGGCGGGAGTAATACATAGGACTCAACTCGTTCAATGGTTCAATGATGGAAGCGTTTCCGCCAAAGAGGCGAGCCATCTCGTAGAGAATGTCATTGCTCCGAACGACGTTCGAGTGATCCGAATGCCATCCACTAGTCGATATCCCCGTTCAATAAAGGCGTTCCAAAGATAAATGGAGTAAGCTTACGGATACGACATCCTCCGACCAGAATTATCGAATCTACGCAAATATCAGTGGTAGGAAAGCGAGAATCGAGCAGCGCGAGTGAAAGTAACAAACCCATTCTGACTGCCAGGAACTCCTACGACAGAACATGAGGCTAACACGATTCCATGAAACCACCCAAGACGTACCATGAAGATCCACGATGACTTGAAGTCCGTGCGCTGCCGCCCAGCGGAGCGCTTTTCGCAAGTAGTCGACTTGTCCTTGTATGTACGGCTCGTGTTCCGTGACGTTAAACGCCCAATAGCCGATAGGTATACGAACATGATTCAAACTAGTACAAGTCAAATGAACATCAGCGAGAAGACAACCGGTCGATAGCACGCACCCCGCAGAAGCAATGTCAGCAAAATCGGATTCAGTAATCCAGGTACTCCAGTGTTTCGTCAACGTTTCTCTTGCGATATCGGTGTCCTGATATTCGCAAAATGTCCATTCGTCGACGATGGTCGATATACCTGAAGTAAAGATTCAAAGCGAGTTCATGCAACACCGAACAGCGTGCAACTCACCTGTATTTTCGAACAGAGATGGAGTAATCCAAGGCTAGAGACATCGTCGTTACTAAAACGCCTTGGGAGGGAAAAACCAAAAAGCGCACTTCGAGAACGAGCCATCCACCGAGGTTGACACCTCGTACTTTGTCTGTACCATAATTGAAGGCCGGCGAGATAGCTAAAACGGGTTCTAGAAGAGAAAATCCAAAGGCGGCAACGGTCACCGCGCGTAGAAGAGAGATACCCATGTTGGAGAGAATGGAAGGAAGGACGAAAGTACCGATGCCTCAAGTAAGCCACCGCTTTTAACGAACAGAAAATGATCGATCGAGCCGGCCAGGAGGTAATAGTAGCGCATTGGTTTAATTTTCAGCTCCCCCACGCACGTTACTCACATGTCATGTAAGCGGACGATCGCGTCTCAAGGGACCATGATGAAACTGAAATCTTCCCAAACGACGAGGTCAGAAGTAGAAAAGAAAACAGGAAGGCATGATAGCAACTGGAAAGGGCAAAGAAAGGTGTCAACAAAAGCCGGGTTCTCAGTCTGTGGCTCTGAGAATTTGCGCTGAGGAACAGGGAAGCATCATAGACCACGAGGGAGACATGCCCGAGTGAGAGCTACCATTGGACGAAACTCGCGCTTAACTAATGGATATTTTGGAGCGAGCAAGCGAGCACCGGGGAACCTCAGACGCCCCGAAGACATAAGGAAGAATGTGAATGACTCGGAGAGTATTTGAGCCAAAATTGAGCCGTACATAGGCGGAGCCACTCGGTATTGAGAGGTGCACGCCATAACACAGACTCGTGGGCAGATGAGAGAAGAGTAACTTGAATCCTGATGACCGCAAAAACTGCAAAGGTGACGAGACTCAAGCATTTGTGATGGTATGCTGCACATTTACTTTAAAGATTATGTTGAAAATGCCTCGGCTTGAGACGTTTCATTTGATCTCTAATCGTAAAAACGAGGTCAGAAAAACGAGTTGAAAGTCGGGATCATTTACGTACTATCCAAGGTAAGGAAAAGTGCACGAAAAAGGGGATGGAAAGGCGTTTCCTGCGGTCAGAAAAAAGGAAATCATTTTTCATTCGCAGAAAAGCAGCTATTTCTGGCACGCGAAAGGAGTTCATTATGTTTTCCATATCCCATTTTGCGGCACGCAAAGGGAAAGGAAAGTCACAACGTTTTCAGAACCTTTGAACGTCGAACGGCGAACATGGTCATTGGTGGTTGAAAAATAAAAACTTGCGGCGGGAAACCGGACTCCGCCGAGTCCCGACGGTCCGGTCGTCGGCTATGACATCAAGCAATCTACTCCAAATTCACTTCAAAACCTGCCACTTGAAAGATTCGAACTTTCGACCTCAAGATCACGTTACATGTTCATGTATGAGACTTGCGCTCTAACCGACTGAGCCAAAGAGGCATAAGGCCAATGTCTTGTCTTTGGCATAGAATTCGGCCATCTCTGTCGGAACAGTAGGCTTCAAGTCTCATCATCCCTCGAGTCTCGGACATCTTTACTTATCTTGAACGATCATGGTTTCCATACCAGAATTCACCTACATATCCCTGGAGCCCTGGATTGGCATTTTCCTCCAAGGATACTTCTATCACCAACTGACAACAGGGAGCATGCTGAACTCGAGGCCCGCGCCGACAGGATAGTTGCTCTATACAAGCTTCCGCCAGCTTTTGGTGCCAATTTTATAGGAGCTACAAGGAGGTTTGTACCCTATATTTTCATTATTATGCAACATTAACCCGTATTTTAGGATCTGGCGGGCCATGTAGATGTTCTCTATTGGCTCCGAATCTACGTTTGCTAACCTGTTCACGTCCAGGCAGAATGGGGATGACCAGGACGAATATGTGATAGGATTATTTCCTCCGGACTCGAAATTTATTGTCAACGTTGGTGGAAAAAAACACATCTACCCTCTTCACAAATTTGTACAGCATTGGACCTGCAGCTGCGCTTCTCTCCCTTCTGTTGCTCCTGTAGATCGTACTTTTCGTTCAATGACATTGAACGAAGGCAAAGCCTTGTACGAATACCTCTACACAGGGGACTCGACACTCGTACTCGGAGCGCTTCTAGATGTCACTGGAATTCCCGAGTCCGCAATGACGAACCCAATCGCATTTGGCAGACGCTGGAGCACGCTGATCAACTTCATGATGGAGACTTTGTCTCCTGAAAAGCTGGAACTCACCGGATGCAAAATTACGGTCTTCGCGGAACAGATTTCATTCATGTCTATTCGAGACGACAAGTTGTGGGATACAGTTAATTTGGCCTGGTATTTACTTCGATGCCAGCCTATCCTGCAGGACGTTACCGCACACCGGACGATTGGAGGGATCGCTCTAATGCAACTTGGTCTCAAGTCCACGAACTGTATGGAAAGTCATATGAAGCCAAGATGTGCGCAATGTCGTCTATGGAGTTGGGCGGGCGTTTCGATCTGCATACTATATATAATGCAAGGATGTAACTACGATTTTATGCTTGTTTTATGTGCACCATGATCCCGACCCAGAAAGACATATGCTAGGAACCACGAGTGCTTTCGTGTCGCCGAGAAACTTTTCTTCTCTCGGATGTCAAAAGATCAAGACAGTATTAATTCAACTGACTTCTGATTGGGGACATTTTCTAGATCTGGCCCACTCTACCACCAACCTGACCGTCAAGCAACCTCTGCCTTATAATGACGTTACAAAAAAATCGATGTTTGATATCCACGGATGAACTCAGCCCGAGGTTTCATCCTTACAAAATGTCTTTACTATGTACTCTTTCCTTTTCCTCCTTCAGAAACACCTTGGGGCCGCCAGATGAGCCAAAGGTATCTAAATGAGGCCAATAGGTACCTTTTGTCCACTGAAAGGATATTTGGAGCGAGTAAGAATGATAACGGAGTCCGTCATGAGCAACAATTATGAAAACAACGCTCCAGCCAACGTACTGAGCAAAAGAGACATAATAGGGATACGTCCGAGCCTAGTACTTACCCTCTGTGGGAACCCGGAGGTGGCTGCGACTCCTACGTATCCAGTAAAGGAAACGGCATTAGAGCACTGATCCTACGTTGATTAGGCGGAGTAGAGAGGAGGGCAATAACATTATGAAAAGCTAGTACTACAAAACAGGGTTAACATCGTTGATATCCAAGACCAAAAGAACTATGCCTGCCCATCCCCGGCCTTGATAAGATCCAGATTTGACACATCGACCTCCGAGAAGGGTCGATCCTTTACTTTTCGGGTCTCCTTCTCTCTCTTCACCAGCCAGCGGTAGAGAAGCTTCATGCAATCTTTAGCCTGCATTGCGGTCAGCACTTAAGCCCCGCACACGTCGAGAACAAGCACTTACCACGATGAAGATCCCAAATCCGACCGAATTACGCCACCAGACGGGATCGAGCTCTGCCCACGGACTGACGCCGCCCCAGAAGGCGCGCAGAACCAGACCCCAGGGGACGACAGGCTTTCCCTGAGCATTGGTCTTGAGCCACGCTACAGGGAAGGGAACCTGACTCTGCCATGGCGGACGCACGCCAAGGAACCTGCGCATGTACAACGAATGTTTTGATAGCATCAAGAGCAAAGAGCCCATCCTGTTCGCAATCGTCGGTAGAAGCAGGGCGCCCCCGATTCTACGACCGATGCGGCTGGGAGACTTGATCTCAATGGTGATATCAGCCAGTTGCTGACCGACGGCGTCACCGTTTGCCGGGGGGGCAGGAACGACGGCAGGAACAGGATTAGGCTCGGGTGCCTGCCCCTCGGCTGGTGCTGGTGGTTGTTCGGCGCCTTCCCGATCCCGCTGCTCGTCATCAGCGTTGAACACAAACCGGAGGTTATCCTCGTACTCCGTCGGGTCTGTCGTACCGAGGATTTTGTAGGAGAGCCGCTCAAAACAAGCACGATATATAGCGTTGGTAATGGGGAGAAGGACACAAGCGAATGCGTATGGAGATGGCGGCCACAAGGACGACTCGATGCGTATATTGTTCGCGTAATTGCTATGGTGGGTCAGAGCAAAGATGCCTCGAGGCATGAGCGAGAAGCATGCGATGATAGTGGGCATGATTGGCGAAACATGGGCGTATCGGGAGACGACAAGGCTGACGGGAATGAGAGGAAGCTGGATGTACGCCATTATTGGCCAGTTGGCAGGGTCGTCAGTGAGTACAAAGTCGTACATCCTGCGAACGGTCAGACACGAAAGATTTCAGAGGTCGTCCACGCACTCTTGTCCAAAGAATTGCTGAATCGCATGAGCACCGTATCCAGTAAGTAAAACATATATCCCTGCTGGTTTCAGTACAGATATACAGAGAAAGATGGTATATGTATTCACCAGCCTGCATAGACACCAAAAACCCAGCGAAACCTGTCCAGAGACATACCCTCCCCAATGTCGGCAGCTGTCGACTGCACCACGAGAGGATCCTCAAGAGTCTTGGATTTCGGCTCTCAATCTCGTACGGCGTCCTGCACTGAGGGCATGTCATGGCTCTCTCCCCAGCCTCAGCCGACGTCGCTTGTGCCGTCTGTATCCATTTCAGCAGACACGCTTCATGAGCAACCAGCGCGCATTTGCATGGGTGTATCCAGATCCGTGGCGGAATTTCCGGTTCTGCTAATACAGTTTAGATAATGCAATGCCGAAAAGTAAGAAGGTCGTACTGTCGAAAAGTTCCTCTTCTCTGCAAATATAGCAGAGCTTCACACGAAGGTCTTGAATGGAGGGAACATAGTCGCTCATCGTGGTACTGGTGCAAGGTAGGCAATGCCCTTTTTCGGCAATGAACGACATGTTTGATTTTGAAATTCAGATTCGCCTCCGAATAACTTCCAAGAATGATTATTATCGGCCAACGATCCTGGTTCAGTCCAACGTTTGTATGTTTTTCGATCCCCCATGCCCTGTTGGCTCTCCAAGGAATATTTTGATGCTGAACCTCTTACAGTTGCCCGGAGTGACGCGTCAACTGATTCGCAGATGTCATAAAAGCTTATTATGTATGCCAATTGCTCCCCTCCCCCCTCACAAAAGGATCCGATCAGTCGTCTTGGCTCTAGCGTTAGCTCGGCAGCAATTGAGGTGTGAAATTCTAATCCCCCCCACCTCATCCCTTGTTCTGAAACAGAATTTGATCAGAATCAGAAATTCCGTCGGCAAACCTCAGGGAGTCGCCCGGCGGTCTCAGTCGAGGTGGATTGTGGAAAAAGCTGATCGTTTGCAGCTGATAGCTCCTATCGAGACCATGCCCACAAACAAATATGGCGTCACTGAGGAGCTGACCGCTTCTGAGATATTTTGGAGAGACACGTACCACTTTCTATGTGAGAGAGGCTATAAATTGCGACCAAGATATCATCCAGACTGGGTGCCATCTTGGAAACCAGGCCGGGAACTAGATGCAGAGGACTGGCAGTGTATTCATGTACGTTCAAAATAGCTCAAATTTGGATACCACTCACCTATCTTAAGGGCAGAGGCGCTGTGAATGATGCCTTTTCCCTCAAGACACAGGCGAAAGTCGTCCTCAAAGTAATCGAATCGGACGAGCTGCCGATTCTTCGAATATTCAATGCTCCTAGCGTGAGGTCTCTGCCGAATAACCGTACTGTGCCTATCTTGGAAACGATCCGCCTCGAAGACGACCCTGAGAAGAGAGTCATAGTCGTCATGCCCTTTCTTCGCTGGTTCTTCGACCCATTTTTCGAGACACTTCACCAAATCCTGGATGCATGTCAACAGCTCCTCTCGGTACCGTATATTCATATCGTCGCCCTGCTTAACTCTAATAATGTCGTTTCAGGGCCTCGCTTTCATCCACGAGCATCACGTCGCACACAGGCTCGTCTTTCCCATCCTGCTAATCCTAGTGTGCTGACATTCGCTTCACTAGAGATGCCTGCTATCTCAACATCCTCATGGACTCATCTCGTCTTATTCCGAAAGGATTCCACTTGAACGATCCTTGGATAGCAGCCGATGTGAAGTCAAGCTATAAAGCCCGCAGCCGCTCTTCGGTCCATCCTATAAACTATTATTACATCGACTTTGAGCTATCCGTAATTGTAAACGACGAGGAGCCTCTTGCGTTCGGCCGCGTCCGACTGGATCGATCAGTTCCCGAGTGGGCGACACCAGACAAGCCGTACAATCCTTACAAACTGGATATCTATCAACTCGGAAACGTGTTTCGCAAAGAATTCATCGAGGTTGGCTTCCCTTTTCTTTCGTTTACCTGAATACTTTAATCTTCGATCCAACAGAGGTATATCGGTGTCGATGTTCTTCTTCCCTTAGTGGAGAGTATGACGCAGTCAATACCCAGCGAACGACCGACCGCGGCTGAAGCATTGGCAACACTTAAGGCTCTTTCCGGGACCCCTCCCCGACAT